TATTTTTAAAGATTTTATTTATTTATTTGACAGAGAGAGAGAGCGAGCACAAATAGGCAGATAGGCAGGCAGAGGGAGAAGCAGGCTCCCTGCTGAGCACAGAGCCCGATGTGGGGCTCGATCCCAGGACCCTGGGATCATGACCTGAGCCGAAGGCAGATGCTTAACCATCTGAGCCACCCAGGTGTCCCAGAATCTCTCCTTTTTAACACAATATTTCTAATGTTACTCTGCTACGTTAAAGATCTTTTAGGCAACGAGTTGCTTTTATACACTAGAATATTAAATGGTGTGCACTTTGACTAGCATACCTGTGGAGATGAGCCCATGTCATTAGTGAGGCTAAGAGTAGTTTCTGAAGTTAGAGGGCATTTCCTTCTTTCTCTTTCTCTCTCTCTCTCATATCATGTATATGTCTTTAAGATATTTGTTTCTCAGTTTCATGTATATGCTAAATGCTTTATGAAAATAAAGAGTTGTCATTTTACAGAGAGTTTTCCTCACTGCCTTCCTTTCTTTTTCTCATACTTCTTAAATATGTTATATAAATATATGAAAATGTTCGTAAATAAAATCTTAGTGCATTGAGATAAAGTGAAAAAGCATTCTTAAAAGTTTCTTTCAGAAGCAGTTTCCTAAAATCACAATATAGGGACTAGGGGTATAAAATAGTTGGCAATGAAGTCTTGTGATCTCTCAAAATCCATGAAATTTATTTGATGCCTAGTAGATAAAGAAGAAACTTCTGGGAAATGATATTCCATATTCTACATTTTAGTATGATCAAAGGTAGCACATTTTTTTTGTTTTTAAGATTTCATTTATTTATTTGACAGAGAGAGACACAGCGAGAGAGGGAACACAAGCAGAGGGAGTGGGAGAGGGAGAAGCAGGTTTCCCGCGGAGCAGGGAGCCCGATGCGGGACTCAATCCTAGGACCCTGGGATCATGACCTGAGCCGAAGGCAGATGCTTAATGGCTGAGCCACCTAGGTGCCCCAAAAGTAGCACTTTTTTAGTTAAATGTTAAAATTAGAGGCATCAATTTGGTGAATTTATAAAAGAAGTATGATTTCTATAAAATATATATTAATGAAGAGGTAAATTATAGATGAAATAACATAAAGAATGTTACTAGACAGTAGCAAATCAAAAGACTCTGAATGATGTCGTATCTGGTACCTGCCTCAGGGGGTGCAGACATGTAGAATGGAGTAGACTGATCTCACTGACCTGCATACCTGTGAGTGAATCAAGTTATTATTTGAAATCATTGAGTTTTGGATTAGTTTGTTAAGCAGCACTATTGTGGCAACTGTTAGCTGAAACAGAGACCTTGGGGTACAGGAATGAAAAAATGGGTAACACTCTCTACCCCACATGTTTTAATAAACAATATACCTATGTATAATAAATAGCTTGGTTAGATGGCATCAAAGAGAAAAACTAAGCAGAATAGAGGAATGGGAAGTGTTGGAGGTATAATTTTAAATATAGCAGTCAGGAAAGCCTCACTGAGAAGGGAATGGTAGCAAGTCAGTTTCCCTAAAAAGCAAACTCTGAGAAAAAGATTTGAATGAAGGATCAATGACCCCTTTCAAGATGGCAACTGGGTGGCAGCTGTAGTTTAAAATATAATAATACATTTGCATGTCATCTGGTAGAAGTAGTCTCCCTTCTCTGAGATCTAAGACCTCCAAATCTACAGAATCAAGAGTCACAGTGAGAGGAAGTATGAATTCACCAAAATGGGTTAATTTAGAGTGATGTTAAATGAGACCACTCCTGCTACCTCCTCTTGGATCCCAGACATTTGCATTATACCAACTAATGACATGGTGTTGGGTCAAACATGAAATCTGCTGGATGAGATCCTGTGAATGTGAAAGGCAAAAATATATGCCAGTTCCGGTGAGTATTTATTGCTACCCCTTCCAAGGTTGAAGAGGTCCGATGTAGTCAGTTTTCCACAGAGCGTAGGAGATTTGCAAGGTTTTCTGTGTCATATTGGAGGCTCAGCTTTGATCTTTCTTGCTGGCCCATTGGGCATTTGGTATCATCAGTAGCTGGATCAGCCTTGAAAAATGAGAGACCATACTGACAGACCCTACTCAGTTGGTGTATCCATTTGCCAGTACTCTGGTGACTGATGGTAGTAGTTGACGAAAGTCAACTAGCAAGTTATTCTCTACTTGGTTGTTGAATCAGGCCTTTTCTGTGTTCAAACTCTCCTGGGGGATGTTAACGCATAATTCAAAGATCTTCCTTATTGGTGTCCACTCCCGTATATCCACCCAGATGCCCTTGCCCAGACTTTCTTAGCCTCGTTATTCAAATATTCAAGGTCTTTGTCCAACCAGCCAGGCCACTTGCCATTACTCACATGCCTTTATATATTCTAATGTTGGGATTCTTCCCTTTCCACACAAAGTAGGCGAGAAGATATAGTGCCTATTGAGAAGGTTTGTCTTAATATTCTGCAGGACATTAGTAGTGGGGTTTTAGTGTAGCTGCAGCCCATTTTCAGTAGGTGCACACAACCCAAGTTGACCTATTCACAAAGCAAACTCAGACTTTTCTGCCTTTGTCAGCTGCTCATAAAGGACCCCAACTCATCAGGCCATAAGTGTAATCTTATGGAGCAGGGCTGTCACAACTTGATGGAATAAATAGACCATGAAATAATGTAGTTTACTCTGTTGTCTTGGGCTCAGTAATAGACATACCATTTCCAATTACAATGGGTTACTCCTGGACATGCCCAAATTTCTGAGTTCGTGAGTCTGTCAGATTCTAGCTCATATTGGACACTTCAGATGCAACATTACATGGAAGCCATGTTTAAGTGTTCTGTCAGGTTCCAGTAGCATATCAGGAGCTATTTTTTAGAAGGCACATAATTGGCTTTTGCAGAAGGTATAGTTTAGTTTTGCTCCAGAAACCAAGAGCCTGCCATATACCCTACACTGTTTTTTCACCACTGATACCTCCAACACCTTAGGGTCCCAGGACAATGAGTCAAGTGACAGTTCTACTTGTTTTATAGCCTCAATGAGCTGCATGTCTGTTCCTACTCTGGATCCACTCAAAGCAGGCATCATTCCGTGTGATTTTGCATAAGGGCCAAAGCATTATTCTGGAACGTAGAATACACTAACTTCAGATCCCAAAGAAGCTGATCATCTATTGGGCATCCTTTTTTGGATTCTCCTTTTGGATAATAATTTGTCTTTTATTTCATAGTGGAGGTGTGGCATGTCTCTGACCACTAGAATCCTGAAAGTTTTACTAAAGTGGCAGCAACCTGAATCTTCATAGGGTTTGTCTTCCATTCTTTGGGTTGCATGTGTTTTACCAAAGCCTCTGATACATTTGTTGCTTCTTGCTTAACTGGTCCAGTTAACAGGATATTATTAGTATTGTGGGTCATTGTGGTATTTTATAGCATATTTGGCTGCCCCAGATCCCTTTGGACAATATTACAACAGAGGGTGGAAGAGTTAACATTATCTTGGGGAAAGACTGTCAAAATATTCTCTTGTCTGTCTTAAGTGAGTTGCAACTGTGTCAGATCTTCTGTGGGAAAGCAAAAGAATCCATTCTCCAGATCAGTGGCCACATTATCAAGTACCTGAAACATTGTTTTCTTCTCTAGCAAAGAGAACTCATCCAGCACAGCACTGCAGTTGGGGCCACCTGCCATGACCTTATAGCAGTCCATTGTCATCCTCTAGGATCTGGTAATATGGGACCCATGCCTCACGGTGACACGAATGTACCACAGAAGACAACTGAGTGCAACTTGTTTCAGTTTTCAGTCAAGAGGTAATGTCTGTGTTCTCCTACCTTCCGGTGCTCTCTTATCGCTCAAAACCACAGCACAGGCTGTGTTAGCAACAACTAGTTTTTCTTCGCTGTCCTTTCACAAGCAGAGGAAACCCAGGGAAACCAGTGGCTCTAAGTAGGGCACCAAGATTTACTTCCCAGTTGGAATGCAGATGGCCAAAATTGTAGAGCATGGCTGTCTTCTCTAAGCTCCCTCCTTCAGTAGGCCTTTGTTTTCAGTCGGATCATTGCTTGATTTCTGTCTTGTTTCTTCCCCAAGGAGCTGTTTATCTTATTTTTAAAGAAGCTATTTTTTTTGTTTGTTTTTAAAAATTTTCTATCAATTGTAAGTTTTTAGAGAAGGCATGTCTAATTGTAAACATTTAGGACCATCTTAAGTAGCTATCTCCAGATACTGTTTTCATGTTCATATCATTCATTATTCTTATCACATTGTAAAATTGATAAACATTAAAGGAGTGACTTTTATATAATTCTTTGCCCCCCATGAATGTGTTCCTTGGAGTTCTTGTTCACAACTCCTTTGTTGTTGCTGTCACCATCTAAAACCAACATCAGTCTTAGTGTCTTGACTGTATGGAGCCAGAACATTTGTAATGAATGAATTTCTTTGGTATAAAAGTTTCTACTGTGTTCTCATTGATTCTACCTAATTAAAGTTATTTATCTGTATATTCTTTAAATATTCTCTACCTTTTTAATTGTTGGCAAAGAAAAACATGAAAACTTTCAGGGGTCATAATTTCTAGGGAAATTGAAATCTGTGTATATTTGTATACAAATTCCTCATCTATTTTTTAAAGATACTCAGCTAAAGTAATTTCTTCAAATGAAAACTAAGTTGAACCAAACGCATTTTTGTATTGACCCAAAATGTTAGGAGATACTAAAAATAAATTTTTATATATGAGAACAAGAATCATTTATCAAGTGTTCAGAAGGTGTGTGGCTACTTGTGGGTGCTCAGTGTATATTGCTGAAGGTTGCCCTTCAAAAATTATTTGAAACATTTATTTTTCAATCGTAGAACACTTGCCAAACCTGTGATGATGATATCTCCAAAGTATGCAAAAGGCACCAAATGGCAGCAGATCAGGATGCATAATTGTACTGAAGTACATGCATTCATTAAAAATAGGCAAACAATATATGCAAACACACTAATTTATTTTTTCAGAATTTGCAAATGATTTCATCTTTGATTCCAGTGTGACATTTAACAAATGTTTCCCCCTTAGGAAGATGAGCAGAAACATGTACATGGACAGAGACCACAGCTAACCGGGCAATTTGATCATTCCCTTCTTCTGAGGTCTAATGGTTTCCCTAAGGACAATTTTCAGTGTTACCATCTTTTTGTTTTTTGGCTTTTTTGTTTCCTCACAGACAAATACCTTCTCCAGTGACTGTGCTTCTCTGAAAGCAAAAACGAATTTATAATCAAGAGAGTGCCAATAAATGGCAATAATAGATAAAATGTAACCTTAAATAAAGAGATGACCTTGATGATTTTGTTGTTGTTTACATAAAAAGAAGAGTAATTGACATTTCCCATTATTTTATCTCTTGCCTAATCTCAACCTCCCAATTTCATGCAATTTATCTCCATGTTTTCTAAAACAGATTGAGTTATTTATATGGTTTAGAAAGAAACACCCAACTGAATGCCTGGCCCATATTAAAAGCTCAGTAAGTGGTCATTCTATGCTTACTTTTCCTTTTTCTTTTACTCAACAGCAACTTTAGTGTGATTTCTTCTCTGTGGTTGCAATGGATTCAGAAATAGCTTTGCAGGAAATATTTGAAGGGAAAAAATTCTTATAATGATTGGGCAGAATACTATAACAGATTTAAGCAGAGCCTCAGTTAACTATAAAGGAAGAAGACTAAAAAAACATTTTTTTAAAAGCACATTTTTATCATAAGAAATCAGAAGCCTTTCCTTGGCATTTTTTTCCTAAGACCATGGTTGAATTCTCCTTATCCTTAGTTGAATTATGCTCAGCAGAGAATGTTGAACTGAATTGCCCAAAGTCAGTCTAGCTGATCTTAATAGTAGAAATAGAATAAGTTCTGAAGCAATAAGATGATAATAGATTTTTACTCAGATTATGGTAGAGTTTATTTTTAAAAAGGAAAATATAAGAAGATAGTGCCGTAAGTTTCTAAAATTATACTTAACTAATATTTTCTTGATGGAAGTTAGAGATTTTGCTGTCTGAAACATAAATCCCAAAATGGGAAGTAATTTTTATTATGGGTTTTTCATTCTATTTTTCAATTTAAATGGTGAATAAAAAATAAGTTAGTAGAAAGTCATCATGATGAGAAGTCAATAAAAAGTGATATTTGAGTTTACCTGGAAGCAAAGCAAGTAAGTTGACCTTGATACATGTCTGCCATCCTAAGATATTCATGAAAAATTTTACATAATTTAGATTTACTAACAGTCACTTAAATCACAAATTGTTACCAAAGACAAGTCAGTAGGTTAGTATATATCTTTTTGTTTTGATCTTTATTAACTGCTGTGAAAATCATATAAACATTCTTAAGGTTCATAATTTTATTTATTTTATTTTTATTTTTATTTTTTTTTAAAGATTTTATTTATTTATTTGAGAGAGAGAGATAGAGAGAGCATGAGAGGGGGGAGGGTCAGAGGGAGAAGCAGACTCCCTGCCGAGCCGGGAGCCCGATGCGGGACTCGATCCCGGGACTCCAGGATCATGACCCAAGCGGAAGGCAGTAGCTTAACCAACTGAGCCACCCAGGCGCCCGAGGTTCATAATTTTAAAATGTTGATATTGTTAGTAATGATCAGCTTCTGCTGTGTCTCTGTGCACATTACGATATTTTAGCTAAAGGAGAATATTTCAAAACATGTAGATGAATTATTTGAAGTGTCCTATATCTTTCAAATTATTATTTTGGAATTTTCATAGACATGTCCCATGGTTCACCTTTTTTTTTTTTTTTTTGAGGAAAAGAAAGAAAGAGTGATAACTGTATTTTCTATGTTCCTGAGAGTTAGAGACATTTAATGGGTCCTTGTAATAATTTGACTCCTGCAGCTTTTCTTGGCACTGAAGCCACACGTCAAGTGTGACTGTGCTACCACCGTGTCGGTCTGATGGTCGTGGTGAGCATGTGCCGCATGGATATGTGTGCAAAGCACAGAGGAGTCTCCCTTGGGAAGCACTCTCCTGCCCATCTGCTCTTCATGACAGACCCTCGGTCAGATTCCTGCCAGACACTGCCTTTCGGAGACATGCGATGGCTTAGCCCGTGGTTTTGCTGTCACTGAAGAAAAATCACTCTCCTGATGTCTGACCAGTCTGTGAGGATTTGGTTCTTGTGGATAGCTTGTTACCAAGTGTTGCTTTTACACCTCATACTGTGTTTAAATGTTGCAAAATTTTCTTAAAAACCTGAAAAAATGTGAAATGTGCTTTGATGATTGATACATAAGAGATACTACATAAGTGTTAGCTTTAAAGTGTTAGCTATTAGTAGATTCTTCCCCACATATAAAGAAAATTAAGGCTATAAAATGCCAAATGATAAGCTGAGGATCGAATGGGAAATTGCTTATAAGCGAAATAATTATGTTGAAATGGGCTAGAATCTTATGCCATATGCATTTCTCAATTCACTGTGACTTTTTCATTTCTATTTGTTTCTTTACTGCTTCCTTTCAGTATCTTAACCTAAATATTTAATTTTTACCTAATTATTGATATCCCATTTTACAGATGAGGAAATTGAGGCACAGAGAGAGAAAATTACTTGCCCAGGGTCATACAGCTGGTAAATGGAAGAGCCAGGTTTTTAATCCTAACTGCAGCTCCAGATACCACGTTGTTAACCACTGTGATACTTTGCTCTCCCTTGGCCTGATGTTTTATAGAACACTCTATTTGAATTCATTTCTTCAATTGATTTATTCATTAGCCATTAGTAATTGTGCATTACTCTGTTAATAGTCTATAGTAAGTGGTAAAGGTAAGTTGCCAATAAAAAGAATCAGGTCCTTAAGTGACTGTTTCCACATATGACTGCATAGTAAATGTTATCTCTTGATGAATAGCTTCTCAATATTGTCTACAAGTCACACTCAAAAGAAAGAAATAATTGAGATGAGGGATCCAATCATAACTCATAAAGAGAAACCCTCCGCTAAGGCCTGTGAAGAGAGCTTCATACTTTTCCCCAGCCCAAACCCCTCAATAGTTGCATTTCCAACTTAACTTGCTCATGCTACATTTTACGCTCACTTCATTTAGTCTTGTCTTTAGGTAGAGATGGGTCTAGTTGTCAAGTATTCCTGTGTTTAGACATTTTGTATATTTGAAAATTATTAAATTATATATTCAAAATGTCTAATTTGCCAGTTGATTGAACTCAGTTCCTTTGCCATTTCCCATACATTTTATTTCCCAGTTCCTAAAATACATTTTAACAAAGGATTACTGGTTAATATTTATGTTGAAATATAATTTCAGCCTGCCGTAACATTTCTATTGTAAAACCAATTGCATATATTAGGAGGAATGCATAAAATACATTTATTATCTGTTTTAATGTTGGCTTCTTTCTATATTAAAAATGTTTAGTATCTAGAAGGAGAGAAATATTGAGATTATTTTGTAAACAGAAAAATGAATGACTAATTAGATAGGTATTAGACCGTAATTTTAAAGAAGCAGAACAATGCTACATGGTACATTGAAGCATCTGTTTTATTCTTGTTCAGTGTTGGGGGAAAGTCATTGGCAGTTGTAACTGTCAAGGTCTCTGTTGTAGTTCTGATGTCTTGCCAAGATGTTTAAAAAGAAAATCATACTTACTTAAATGCCCAACCCAAAGGCCTAGTGTTACCTTATCTATTCAGATAAATAACAAATATCTCACAAAGAAAATTAATATTCTTTTATAAGTTTATCAGAATCATTTACTTTAGGAATAGGACACATTTTATTTTTTGGCATGAATATGCCCATTATAGTATATCCTGTATATTAATCAAATAGCCGATTTTAAAGTAGTGCAGAGCCAAGTTTACAAAAACCAAAGTTTTATCTTAAAATAAATACTATTGATTTTCTAAGAACCCACTGGAAGTGAAATCAAAAGAGATCCTTGGCTTCTAGCTTCCCAGCATCACTGCCCGTATAGTGTTTAAAGAGCTCTAAAAGAAAAGAAGTGATTAGAGATTTGATGGATGAGCCCCTCAATTTATTTCTTAAAAGAAAAAGTTCTCTATCTTACAGCTAATGCCACATGAATTGCTCAAAGTCAGATGACTAGATGAATTCTTTATTGAAATGACAATGAAAATAATTACATTGTTAGATTGTCAGCTTTTTAAAAAACTCTTTTGGCAATCCAGACACACTGACATTAGTAACAAAGACAGTGAACATTTTTTAAAACAATGTCCCTTAAAACTTTCCAAATGTGATATCATTGAATTGCCATTCTGGTGTGATTACTCAAAATAAAGAATGAATTTTTTGAGACATACCAGGTAGTGGAGAGAAAACAGACCTTTAGTACTTATAAATTTAAAGTAAGGGAAACATCTCAATTGTTTAGAGGGCTTTCCCCCTCAATTTCAATTGTCCTTATTTATTTGATAAAACGCATACTTAAATCTGGTTAGCTAATTTAATATGCATACACTAGGAAAGAATGAGGTTTATCATTATGACTCATCTGACATACATAGCAATAATGGAATTTTAATCAGAATATAAGTAAGATTTTGTGAAAATAATAATTAATACATGCTAAGAAAGATACCGAACAAAAGAAGAGTCATTTTATAAAATTTTCCCTCTTTTCATTCTTTTATTTCAAATATTAAAAAGGAAATGAAAATATAGTATGAAATTACAAATTGTTCCTTTTATTTGAATACATCTAACAGTCTTTCATGTTTGATACACTTTTTTTTTTTTAAATGTAAGCTTATAGGATTTGTTAGCCACATAGTTTAAGAAAAACATTTTCTGATAAAGAAACTGAGGCAGAGGTACTCTTGTCTTATCTTTCTGGTAGAAATTCAGATTTCCCATTTGAAGTTATGCCCTTTGTTTCTACATCTTGATTTGGTACATAAACCTAATCCTTAAAATGTAATTCCTTATGACCAAATTCTGGACTCCATTTGTCCTGATAGATGATTTCTAAAGTTGGAAGAGATAATTTTAATTTACTTTAAATAGAAAAGTCTTATTTTCAGGGAAAAAACATAAAGGAAATGCTGCCTTTATGGAATGAAAGTGTAAACTAGTTAATCTCACTTTGAAAGCCTAAGTTTTACTGCAACTTTTAGTGTTTTTTTTATTATTGATTAAATAGGGGAGCCTGGGTGGCTTAGTCAGTTGAGTGTCTACTCTTGCTTTCAGCACAGGTCAGGATCTCATGGGTGGTA